TATGAAAGGGTGCGGCAGAAATAAAGATAAAACAAATGACGTCTCATAACACCAGCGTCTGCTCACACCGTCTTGGAATAGCAACGGTGGACGTTCATCAAGAGCCAGCAACTCAAACTCAATTCGAGTTTCTGGCCGACATCCCGAGTCAACAAACGTGGTCACATACGATCATCAAAGTCATTTGTGTCTCGGACTTTACACAAAATAATGGCTGCCCACCTCAGAAAAGGTGAATACGCAACTCGTTTCTTGTGGTTTGGGTGGTGTTGAAAAACACCAGTGTGGTTGACGACTCTATGGTCGCCACAGTTTAATGGCTTAGCCGCCAAAGCCGTACAAGGTGCGGCCCTGACGCTTCAAGGCGTACACGACGTCCATGGCCGTCACTGTCTTGCGGCGCGCGTGCTCCGTGTACGTGACCGAGTCCTTGATGACGTTCTCGAGGAAGACCTTGAGCACGCCGCGCGTCTCTTCGTAGATGAGACCCGAGATGCGCTTGACGCCGCCACGGCGCGCGAGTCGGCGGATCGCGGGCTTGGTGATGCCCTGGATGTTGTCGCGAAGGACCTTGCGGTGGCGCTTGGCGCCGCCCTTGCCGAGACCTTTACCGCCCTTGCCACGTCCCGACATGTTGTTGAGGTGTTGTTGGTACTTGATGAAATTGAAAGTGAGTGTGATTGAGCGTTCAAAAGGCGCCAAAATGGTAAGGTGGTCATCGATTGGCCAAGTATACAAAGAGTACTCTTGATTGGCGGAAATTTTGGAATGGGCGCACGTGCCGATGTGGGTGACAAGATAACCGCACGGCTCGCCCAGCGGCTTCCAACATCTTTGTCCGAAATGCCAAATCAAGATGGCTGGAATAAAGTCGGCGCGCAACCCATGCCTTTCAGCCAATCCCAAGCAACCATGCAATGTGTCTACCAATCCACGCCCTTGGCGGGAACACAACGTCGACTGATTGGCGGAAATTTCTGGGAGAGACAACGCGCCTTTTTTCAAAGCGTAGCATCTCACTTTGCTCATTTCGAAAGTTTCTCTCGACAACAACAACAACTTCTACTCAAGATGGCCCGCACCAAGCAAACCGCTCGCAAGTCCACCGGTGGCAAGGCGCCCCGCAAGCAGCTCGCCACCAAGGCCGCTCGCAAGAGCGCGCCGGCGACCGGCGGCGTCAAGAAGCCCCACCGCTACCGCCCGGGTACGGTCGCGCTCCGTGAGATCCGCCGCTACCAAAAGTCGACGGAGCTTCTCATCCGCAAGCTGCCGTTCCAGCGCCTTGTCCGCGAGATTGCCCAGGACTTCAAGACGGATCTGCGTTTCCAGGGCTCCGCGGTCCTCGCGCTTCAGGAAGCCTCGGAGGCCTACCTCGTGGGCCTCTTTGAGGACACCAACTTGTGCGCGATCCACGCCAAGCGCGTCACGATCATGCCCAAGGACATCCAGCTCGCCCGCCGCATCCGTGGCGAACGCTCCTAAGTTTCCTCTGGTGACGTAGTACGTCACCACCCCTCACTGGTGTTTTTCAACACCACCCTTTGTCGAAGAAATGACGTCCTTCCATCACCAGCGCCCCGGATCCTCTGCCTCACTGCTCTTAGAGTACCTCAACCTCTCAGCTCGGCTCTTTTTCTCACAGAGCACCTAAGTCCAGATGACTACGAACCTTCCACGACGAACAGAAGGCTAATTCTTTATCGATGACGAGATCGGTGTCAAGGCTGTTATGGTGAAACTACAGTTTGGCTCGTAGCGCTTACGCGAAGGCCTTGCAGCCGTGCTGGACGATGCAGACCTCGTCGGCCGAGCAACACATTGATTGCTGGTGGAGGAACTCACAGGCTTGGCCCGCGCCGTTGCAGTTCGCGTTGGTCACGTCGCCATAAAAGACGCGGCGAGAGGGCAGTCGGCGCTGCGACGCCAAGAGCATGGCTAGAACCGTTCGTGAGCAAGCTGAATCGATCATGAACCCTTCACGTACCGGCCGACGTGTCGAATTCGTGCAGCGTCGCTGGCTTGTTGGCGTCGACAAGCGCCTGGATCGTCTTGTGCCACTGCTCAAAGCTCCACGAGCTATCGGCGGCGTCGTAGTGCACACCGTTGAGGTAGAACATGGGTGTGCCGCTGATGCCTACGAGCAGCAAGTAAGGCGTGGGCCGTCCCAGTGCAGCGAGTACCGTGGGCGAGCGAGTAGCGGAAGAGCTGGCGCGTCTTCTCGTCCATGTCGCTTCCACCATGGCCCGTCATCTGCGCCGACCACGCTTCCTTTGTGAGTGTAGGAAAGGCGGTGCTCGCCCAATCAAAGAGTAGATCGACGACGTGAACGGCGGTCATGTCCTTGGTCGGCGCATTGTACAGGCGGTCTTGGTTGGCGTAAATGGTCTCGAGCCATGGCGGGAACGTCTCGATGCCAAGCAGATGCGTCTACGTTGCGTTAGCAGCATGCAGGGATGGGCTAAGGTCGTCTACCAACGTCGCCGCCGACTGCGCGACCGTGAACGCGTGCTTGTGGAAGGGCAGCGGGAGGACCTGGAACGTGATGCGCAGGTCCGAGCCCTTGAACGCCGCCTCGAGCTTCTTCATCGCCGGATACGCGGCCTTGGAGTACGGGCAGAGCTAGAGGACGTGCTAGGTGAGCGAGACGCGGTGGGCCAAGCAACGCACGAGGTCGATGAAGATCTCGAGCTGGACGGGCGCCGTCGCGAGGCCGCCCTTGTAGACAAAGCCCGGCGTCGTCCTCGGTACGTCGGCGGCGACGAGAGCTGCGAGCATGGCGCAGGCCCACACGGCAAAGGCGAAGCGTGGCCAGGTCATGCTTTCACTGTCTGGAAGATTTGCGATCGGGGCACGGGCTGCGTCTTATCCGGAGGCCCACTTCAACCGCCTGTCACTTATCCGTAATTCGTACCATCGGTCCTGGATGCCGGCGCAAGGTTTGGCACGCGGCACATCGGTCTACTGCTCTAAACCGAGAAGCAGGATCGTCTATATGACAATATTATCTATAAAGGAGTGGGATAAGGAAATCATGACGCGACTGGGTACGTCTACGATGGTAAAACTAGGAACGAGGTACATGCCACATCTACGAATTAGATGGCATTATTCGTACCAAGCGCAGGCTAATTTGTTGAAGGCACATCGGCTCAAGGCCGTCTTCGCTCGTCTTCGCGATGCATCGGAGGTTGTGGGTTGTGGCGCTGACTGACGCCAGAACCCATGAGCGTCCATGTCATGAGCCAAGCTTCACGCACTCCATCGAGAAACACTGTTTTACACACGGCCTGTTGTTACTCGTGTGAGTTTGACGTCTACTCGTGCACACTTAAGATCATTTCAAAATGCTCGGCCTGTCGGATCGCCTGGATGTGACAGTGACGCGTCGACGGCGATGGCTGCATTGAGGCTCAAAAACTAATATCTCGAGCACACGCCTCCAAGACCTCGAGCATCAGGATAGTGTCAGTCGCTTCCGTATCAGCCCATCCCTTAAATATCAACCTTGTATCAAGACACAGAGTTTGGTGTTGTCGTGGTGCAGCCAAAGTATCGCATCAACACGTCGCCTCTCGCCTCGACTTGCACCTCAACAGGCCACGGCGCTGGACGTCAAAAAGTCATCATGACGTTGTCGGTGCGATGGTGATCACCAAGCGTCACCGTAGCTGTATCGTCGTGTAACTAGTCCGGTGGACCGTTCAATCGCCGTAACCCAGTGGCCGTGACCGGGCAATCCCTCGTCGGCGATGGCGACCGCCGTCCAACAGTCGAGACGCAGTGTCCGTCCAGTGAGAGAGACGCATCGATTCGTTGCATGAATCATATTGAGAGAAGCGAACATGCCTGCTGTTAGCTTGGCGAAAGCAGACGCGTCGCGGGTGGCAGTACCGTTGACCTGCACTAAAGATAGGACTGGGATGCTGGGCCAATCCTGTTGCGTTCTGCAGTTGAACGTCGGACGCATCGCCGACGTTGCACGATGGAGGAACACGACGCAACGCGTCGGCGTCACGCTCGGCGGCACTGGAACGACGTCGGGAGCCTCCCGCCGATCGACGCGCCGCCGCGGTCGTTGCCAAATGCCCGACACTCCGAATTATATGCTCCAACACCGTTCGAGGAACTCCTCGTACGTGTAGATGAAAAGCTCGACGGACGCGCATGACGATAGGTTCGGACGAGACTACGACTGCCACCGGCGCGGCCGACTACTATCCCAGTGCTCGTTCCACCAGCGCTCGGGGGCGCTGACCAACGACTCCTGGACGAAATTACGTGAGCTTGAGTCTAGCATTTGATGCTACAAGCGGCGCCAGCTACGAATCCAGTATGCGACTCTTCGATGCGAGCGATTCCTCATGTATCAGCAGACGACTGGTTCCACCGTGAGCCCGAAACGCTGTCCGTGTTGACGACCGACGATAACGTCACGCTGGTGCTTGCATCGTCCGAGGGCTCGTTGGCCAACGGCGCAGTGGTCGTCACACCCATTCACGCCCCGCTCCCCGATGGTGCAGCATGATTGTGATAGTGTCGCTGACAATGAAATCATGTGATATAGAAGATGATTCGAGTCTCGGCACAGCGGCGGAAGTCATTCAGTTAGCGGCCGGCAAGGCGACTCTTGATCACGTGCATGAGCTTTTGGAGACGCTTCGGCATCTGGACCAACACTTGCAGCAGAGCAACGGGTGCTGCTACACTGGTGATTGCAGGAGCAGAAGGCGACGCATAGGAGCGAGGGCATGTCGGCGACAAGCAGCGCCAGTGGCTCACCGGGTACGTCTCGTTTTCAGGCGTGACGCTGTACCGTCGCTGCGTAGAGTCGCGGGCGACGGACGCCGCGTCGACCGACCTCGTCGAGATGTACTGCGACCTCACGCGTCAAGTCGACTGGTTCAACCCCGGTGCCCGAGTTTTCCTCGTGGGCCAAACGATCGCAATGCTGAACCTACCTATTTGTGAGTGGTAGGCGGATGCTGACCAGCAACTGCAGTCGGCCGTCGTCGTGGCGAGGTTGACGCCGACGTCGTGCACCGTTTACGTCGACGCCACCCACAACTATGTGCGGGTGGCCGTCGCATCCTTGGTGGTTTACCAACCGTATCGACCGTCACATACACACTATCGACCCCAACTTGAGCGCTAGGGCGATTCTCGACCGTCCACATACACCCTGTGATGACGACGGCGATGTTCAGACAAACAAGAACGCCTCGACGACGGCGGTTGATCCCCTTTACGCCGTGACAGAACGCATCCCGCATGCATGTATGTTGTGATGGACAACCTACCTTCTGCTCTCACCGTGGTGGATGCCAGTAGCGCTAAGCTCGGTTGCTAATCCATCCGCGCTTGTGATGTACGACGTCGACACGTGGGTGTTGGCAGAGCACCCGTGGACGCGGCACGTGGAGCGTTGCCGGGTTCGCGCCATCGGGGCCGACGGTTACCGTCTTCGATTCGCCGATGGCACCGTGGCCAAGGAGGTACATGATCGCTCTTTGTGTTGAGAGCGCTTGTAGAACACCCGGTAGGTGCCGGTGACGAGCCTCGCACCGGTCGTCGTAGCGTCCACGGCACCCACCGGTCGTTTTTACGTCGGTGACTACGTGTTGGCATGCCACCCGAGCTACGATGCGTTCGGCACGGCGCAAATCACCAGCATGGACTCGGCTGCATCGTGCACGGTCGTGTTTGACGATGGCGACGCCGTCGCGCATGTACCCGCAAACGCGTTGCGGCACCTCCACGACGCGTCTGGTATGCCACCCAATGATGTACTGCGGTCAACATCTTGACATGTTGTGTGTGTGGCATGTAGTGTGGAGCCGCCACCAGCGACGCTGCTTGTAGTAGGCCGTGGTGCTGCCGACAACCCCTCATATCGTGGCTTGTAGTCCTGATGTACAACCTCCTCCCCGGTTTCAACGCCACGACACGGTCCTCGCGCGGTTCCATGGCTCGGCAAAGTACTTTGCCGGTGTCGTCGTCACCGTTGGACCACATGAGATGGCGGATATCCGATTTCTTGCAACCAACACCATACGAGCAGTGCCCTTCGACCAGGTGCAGTGTTCGACGCCAGAGACTCTTGATATGGGTTTCTCTAGCTGGTGTCGACAACAATCGTGTCGCCGCCGCCGTTCCTTCCACCTGTGAACAAACCACGAAGTACGATGATTGCTACTGCGCTGCTGAAGGTTGACGAGTTGCATTTCGATAGAAAGTCTTTTGCGGGCGCTCGCCGATGGAATGCGCCGACCATCGAGCAAAAATGCCGACGAACTGCAGCTCGACCTCAGCTGTAGTCGCAAGACGTCGCTCTCGGCGCAGTTGCAGTGATTCGGGAAGAAACTACGTCTCGTCACTAACACGGAATCCGTATGCGCCATTATTCACTCACGCCAATGACTCCTCTGTTATCGAGCTATTGTTAAACAACACTGCGTTTTGCCCAGAATACCCGGCCGTTGTAACGGCAAGCGCACTTTTTAGCGATGCCCAAGGCCGAGCGCGGTCGTTCGAGCCTCACGCCGACGGCCCCGCCGGTCGCCGAGCCCAAGCGGATGTCGATTGAGATCGAGTCGAGTGCGCCCAACCCGACCCGCCGTCTTCACGTCAACGCCAACTCGCGCGGACTGAGTCCGCGGCTCCAGCAAGCGCTGCAGACGCGCCAAGTCGGCGTCAAGGGCGCGACAGTGCAACTGATCAAGCAAATGGACGCCGAACGCCGCGCTGTGTCGGTGAACCGCCGCGAAAGCATCGCCCAAGCTCGCGCCAAGCGACAGAGTTTGGCGACGCTGACCATGGCACCACCGGTCGCACCGACACCGCCGGTACGTGCATGTAAAAAAATGCTTGTAGTCGACATGGCATTGCATAGTCGACGTCGCCAACCAAGCCGCCGCCGCTTTTGAAGCGCGCGTCGACGCGGCAACTGCGGTCGCTCAATCGGTGCCAAATATCCCGGTGGCGCGCTGGCGACAACGTCATTCTTCACGACGACACCGAGTAAAGGATGCTACGATTACATCCTCACGATTCTTTTTGTGGGGTAGCTCGTACCCGGGCACAATCCTCTTTGCAACTGCACCGCAGTACTACACGGTTGTCCTCGACAACGCCATGGTGCTCGTCGACGTCCCCGAGGCGCGGTTAGAAGCAGCGCCGACTGAGCCGCGCCCGTCGGTGGCGTCACTAGAGCTACCCCTGCTCAATTCGTCGCCCAAAGCAAAGGAATCCGCCGTATCTCCGCCCAGCGGGACGTACCCACACCGATCTGCGCCGCCACCGGGCGACCTTGTGGCGCCCGAGATGGAGCTACCGACCCCCGCAACGCACGATGGCGATGGCGACTCGGCGTCGTGGCACCAATCACATCATGTCAGCGCTGTCTCATCGGCGTCGACGCCGGCGACGTCATGTACAGCGCGCCTTGACGTCCGTATCTTGACGCGGTGTAGGTCCCGGACTCGATCATGTGGACACGACCGTCCTCGTCAAGCGCGCCGAGACCTACAAGACGCAACTCCTCCACTGCAAAAACCACTTGGAAGACCTCAAGTATGTGTGTTTGGCACCGATTTTGACGCGCTAAATGCGCTCGCCGCAGGCAAACGCTCCAGCAAACTGGCCACGGCGCCGGTGTCCTCGTCTCGACGTTCCCGTCGTACTTTGGTCGGTGCGACACGGGCAGTGACGCCAACAACACGTGCTCAGTTCGAGGTTCGTCGTTGCTGTAGCTGCCACGTGCCAGGAGACACGATGGACTTAGACCTGCGTGGCGTGTTGCACGAACACATCAACCTCAGTGCGCTACAGATGATCGATACGGGCCATGAGCTCAACGCGCAGCGCCAAGAGCTCGGGAGCGTGCTGGACGTCTACTACGCTGGCGCGCGCGTCCTCATGGTAGGTATCAAGTGGATACTCGGCCCACGCCAGAGTCGCTTAGATGGACGCGAACCACGCACCGCAGTTGAGCGTGGTCCTTCGACGCACGACGGCGATCGAAGGCGACGTGTTGCCCTACGCTGATAACGCCACCGTGCTCAGCAACGTGCGACTTCAGAAGCTACTGCCCCTACCTCCGTAAAACCCATTCCACTATCCACTGTCTTTGTCTCTTTGACAGGCGGACGTGTTAGGTGGTACGACGACGACGTTGTTGACGACCAGAAATGGTCGATTCAAACCGAAATGACCGAGTTTTCGATTCACGAGCGAGTACGTCCACGGTCTAGTGTAGCAAAAATCATCGACACCGTCGCAGGTGCGGGTCGTAGACGCAAAACTTCCCGGTGTTATTGTCAAAATCGCATCCAAAACCGTTGTCTGGGTCGAGTTCGACGACGGGGACATCGACACAGTCGTGCCGGTGGCCAACCTCATGAAATGTAAGCTGGCGTAATTTTGTACTTCATTTGAATCGAGGTGTGTAGATGAGCCGGCACCGCCCGGCGAGCAGAGCGCGCTGCGATCGACGCCGAGTCATCGCAATGTCGTGTCGGTTGGCGACCAAGTCATTGTGCGCAACCCGGCAACCAAGAACGACGTCGTCGCGCAGGTGGTCGCAATAGCGGAGGAGACGTGCGACGTTCGGTTTCCAGACGGCACGCTAACCACCCACGTACGTTGGCGTCGCGCGATTCGAGAGTTGAACTATTGCATGGGGTAGGTGCCCTTGGACCACGTGCGTCCGGTGGGTATTGAGAAACCCGCAGCGTTTGAAAAGCTCGACCACGTCTTGGCGTGGAACCCTCGGTTCGAGCGGTACTGCTCGGGGCAGGTCTCGGACGCGTCGCACCCGTCGTACACGATCGTCTTTGACTGTGGCGAGACCGTCACCAGCGTCCCTTACGCGGTGATCACGTCGCTCGACGATGCCTCTGGTACGTCGCCTCGTGGTACATTGGCCATATCGGTTCTTGCTAGTGCTGCCACGGAACGGCGGTACGATCACAACCAACTGGGAGAGCGTCCAGGGGTACAACGTCGTATCTTTGGCCGGTGGAGCCATCTGGGCGTAGGTGGGAGGCCCTCGACGATGCGATTCACGAGTGCCACGGCAACCTCGCGCTGCACCGCATGCTCTGCGAGTCGAAAGCAAAGCACTGTAGTCTTGTGCCCGGCACCAAAGTCTACGCGCGGTACCCGCTGACAGCCAAGTACTTCTTGGCCGTCGTCCACAGCGTCGAGAACGGTTCGGTGGTCGTCGACTTTGCGTCCATGCAGCGCAGCCCGTCGCTACCCCTCAGCCATGTAGAAGTCTCTCTTGTGTTGGGTGCATGACACGTGCCTAGTTGCTCTCGATGGCGGTGCCGACGCCACGGCCTTTTGACGCGCCGATGCTTATGCGGCTCAACTCGACGTCGGCGCAGACAAGCGCCCGCAACCGAAGTACAATAGATGACGAAATTTCACGACCAACAATGATGTGTAGGTGTGGGCCCGAGGCTGCCGCCGCAGACGCTCAAAGCCCCGAGTTTTCTCTCCCGCGTTCGGACGTTCTTTATCGGGAAGCGCAAGATCAAGCGCGCACCGGCACCGCGCACGGGCCCCCTCAAGTCGGCGATCCGCTCGAAGCGCTTGTCGGTCATCTTTTTCCGGTAGTCGGCAACGACACACGCTCAACGCTGGAATACGGAGGGTACCTGCACGATACCAGTAGACTACTTGTCCAAACGAGGTCGCCGCAGATCTATAACCAATGAACACGCATCGCGCTTCGCCCCAGCATAGTGTGTCGCGTTGGCTGCTGTAGCGCGAGGCAAACGTCATTCGACGAGCGTTGCGTGGTCAAATTGCGTCCACGCTTGCTTATGGTGACCCCTTGTATGGCAAACACCACGCAAAATTGCAGCTAGTCTCCACCGGCCTACCATCATAGCATATGGAAGGTACTAGAGGTAGCAACCGCACGCCTGGATATTGCACGAGCGCGGCGTCCCGATCGTTATCGTCCTGGAGACACCAAGCAACAATGCAAATGCATCCTTCGAGTAGAGACACCACGGGAACGATCGAACAGTTGGCTCAACCCAAGGCATTGATTGACCCATGGACTAACAACGGTCGAGGGTCGGCCCCTGGTGTAGTGGTCGAGGCGTTCCACTTAAATTCGAGCTCGAACGGATAGCGGGTTCAAATCCAGCTGCGCGCATGCAAATTCAATTGGCCGACATCCTGCCTCTGCGCGGTGTACCCAATCGGAAGAACCGCCGTGCCGTAACCCGTTCGGGATTGGCCAAGAGGGCGTCGTTACTCACTTAGCCTCGAAGGAAAACCTCCCACAACAAATCACCAAAAAACGCACTCTCGCCAAAAGACGCCCGCCTCTCAACGCACCGTGTAAACAAAACAGAAAAACCTGTAGGAAATAATATCTCAATAGACTCATTCCAACAACAACTAACAACGGTCGTATCTCGCGATCGCAGGCAATGGCTGCCGTTGGCGGCGCCATCATGATCCCAACTCCCCAAGTGCTAGTGGCGCTATACTTAGCCAATTCTGGATGACGATCGCACGCGTCTCA